CCCAACAGGACAACATGTATCGGCGCGACGAGCCGTCGCCACCGCCGTACATCGCCGTACATCGCCGTCATGTGAAAGTGTAAGTACGAGAGGGGCCTCGTTTCACACGTCCCCCCCCGTCCTGCAACGCTTTGCCATGGCATGTCGGATTTGGGATGCCGGATTTGGATTGCCGACCACCAATCAATCTGCATCATCAATCCTTTGTTGTGGTATGCATGATGGCATGGCATGGTCGAGGGTCGTTTGGTTCCATGTCTTGCGTTTCGTTGGAATCTGTTGCGAATTCGGCCACTCCGAAACCGCCTTGTAGTGTGTATGTAACCACGTCATCCCCGCCCGAATCCCCTGATCACTCGCTGCAACAACACCTGCCGGGTCTGGGCCGCCACCGTCATTTTCACCATCAGCATCACCGTCGACGTGGAAGACATGCCATTTTGATCACCGTAGGCGTCTTGCCGTCGGCGTTTCCACGTCGTACCACCGGTGAGTCTAAGCTATACTTAAATGCATGCCTTGTCTGTGCTGTGCATTTCCTTGTTGACGTTGCCTTATGTACGTCATTGTACAATTTTGCAGTGCGTCACGTCTTGTTTGCTAGTTGGTTGTAAAGCGCTGTTGTCTGTTGTGGGTTTTTGTTGTTGTGCCACATGCGACGTCGGCGTCTCGCCATGGACGTCTCGCCGTCGGCGTCTCACTGTCGGTGTCTTGCCGTTGGCATCTTTTAGTTCTTGTCAAATTGCTGTTCTTGCACGGCGGCTTTCTCCGCTGCCCTCACAGGCACTGCAGCAACGGGGAAGGGGTGGCTCGCTGGACAGCGGCGCCGGCGCCGTCGGCAAGCTATCAGCAGCTTAGTTCTTGCGGTGCATTTCCCTCCCCGGCCGCCGCTGCGGCTCTTCTCCTCTGGGGTCGCTGCCACCGCGACCTTTTTGCGGTGCATTTCCCTCCCCGGCCGCCGCTGCGGCTCTTCTCCTCTGGGGTCGCTGCCACCGCGACCTTTTTGCGGTGCATTTCCCTCCCCGGCCGCCGCTGCGGCTCTTCTTCTCTGGGGTCGCTGCCACCGCGACCTTTTTGCGGTGCATTTCCCTCCCCGGCCGCTGCTGCGGCTCTTCTCCTCTGGGGTCGCTGCCACCGCGACCTTTTTGCGGTGCATTTCCCTCCCCGGCCGCTGCTGCGGCTCTTCTCCTCTGGGGTCGCTGCCACCGCGACCTTTTTGCGGTGCATTTCCCTCCCCGGCCGCTGCTGCGGCTCTTCTCCTCTGGGGTCGCTGCCACCGCGACCTTTTTGCGGTGCATTTCCCTCCCCGGCCGCCGCTGCGGCTCTTCTCCTCTGGGGTCGCTGCCACCGCGACCTTTTTGCGGTGCATTTCCCTCCCCGGCCGCTGCTGCGGCTCTTCACCTCTGGGGTCGCTGCCACCGCGACCTTTTTGCGGTGCATTTCCCTCCCCGGCCGCCGCTGCGGCTCTTCTCCTCTGGGGTCGCTGCCACCGCGACCTTTTTGCGGTGCATTTCCCTCCCCGGCCGCTGCTGCGGCTCTTCTCCTCTGGGGTCGCTGCCACCGCGACCTTTTTGCGGTGCATTTCCCTCCCCGGCCGCTGCTGCGGCTCTTCACCTCTGGCATTGCTGCCACCGCGACCTTTTTCCTTTCCTCTCATCACCCTTCTGCTTTCAAACCTACCATGCACAAAAGAAAGATGAAAAGGGAGACATTCGTTGCAAACGAGGACTAGTTCAAAGCAGGAAAACAAGGGAGTCCAAAGATATGGAGGATCGGGTCGAGAAATATGGTTGTCATGGTGGAAGTTGTCCGTTGGAGATATGTTTGGTTGGAAGAGGTTGGCAGATGTTGATCCAGTTGGTGGACAGTTGGTGGACAGTTGGTGGTGACCGGCCGGTTTTATTGTCGTCGCTGGGTTTTGTGGATGGTAGCTAGCGTTATCTAACCAGCCAGCAGCTGCAGCCAGTTATATTGCCTAAATGGGCTACGCTACGCAGCTATCAGCCAGCAGCCAACAACCAGCATCAGCGAGTGTGCGCGTGTCACGGCTGTTGCCGCGCGTGTACAGTCTGTCGTGTTTTCGTTTGTGGTGCCCACAGCCCTGGTTGTGCACAATTGATTTTCGTTTGTTTGGGGATTACCTAATTAAGGGGAGGCTACACCTTATTAAATAATAGATGAATAAATAAAGCTGAACCATGGTATCTATTTTCGCTTTATTTATTTACTTATTTATTTACTCTGTTTTAAATATCTTATTTTAGATTAGTAATGCGCCTCAGCCTAATAAGCTAAGGCGTGCATTAGGGTGCCGGGGTTGTAGAGGTTATGGGTTTTCCCAGGCCTTTGCACCTCCTGTCACCGTATTTTTACTTTTTTATTATGTAGTCAGCAGCAGCAGCAGCAGCAGCAGCAGCCGGCAGATCAGCAAGCAGCTGCAGCAGTGGCCATGGCCCGGGCCCTTTATCGCCAGGGTTTGCGGCAGCTTCCCTGGTGCCAGGACCCGAATGCAGGGTCGACTGGCTGCCGGGACTCGGGGCGTACGAGTCGTCCGGCCTGCCGGCACCCGCACGCAGGGGCCGGCCGTACTTTTATAACGCCCGTCTCAGGTGGGTGGATGGGTGGGTGGGCGACGTGGGTGTGGGTGTGGTGCGTACTTCGTGATTTGGGTTCAACTAGTGGTCGTGGAAAAAGGCCGCAGGGCCGCAGCGCACATGTCGCAACGAGGCCTTGTGACTTTTGGGCAAAATAATGACATTTGGTGTTTCACCCCCCTCCCCCCCGTGTATGCTGCTCCCTTACCTATCCCCTCTGGCCGTTTCCCCCTTTATCACGCACCTCCTCTTCAGGTGCGGCTGGGGCATCAACCTGTGCGTACAATAAACGCCATACCGGCCGTATAACGGTTAATAATAAAAATATCAATAAGTGGCGAATACAGCAGTTCTGTAAACGATCGAGTGATCAACGTTAATAATGACCAACGGTTTCGGTTGGACGGTCAAATGGAATCAATGCAGCACGAGGACTTGCGCAACTGAACGTCCCAGTAATGGGCCCATGCAAAATGATCTGGGAGGTACCTGGGCGGATGCTGTCGGTGCCTGGGGTGGCCGGGCGCAGTGCGGTTTGGGGTTTTGCCTAGCACAATGCGATTTGGGGGGCATCGCCTGGCACAACGCGATTTGGGGGGCATCGCCTGGCACAACGCGATTTGGGGTGCATGGCCTGGCACAACGCGATTTGGGGTGCATGGCCTGGCATGATGCGGTTCGGGGGACATGGCCTGGCATGGTGCGGTTTGGGGGACATGGCCTGGCACAATTTGGTTTGTGGGCTTGCATGGACGGATTCTCTTGTGGGGTTTCGTGGCATAATGCCGTTCGGAGGTTGCATGGAC